TGATATTTCTGAAGATGAAGTTCTCCAAAATTTAAAGCAATACATTGAACTAGAATTTGACGTCTCAAAAACCTTGACAGAAATCTATCAGAAGTATGGAACCTCCATGGGGCAATGGTCCCTGGATGATATTAAACGTATTTGGGATAAACTGCCCGATCAAAAGATAAAAAAAGAATTCACTGGTCTCTATTTGTGATGTGACGATTTAAACAGCGACAAGAAATCATAGACCAATCTAATCATAATCGTGAAATTAATCATCTAAAGGAACAGTTGAAAGCTGTTTGTGAAGAACTTAAAATGACAAAACAAAAATTGGCTGAGAAGGAGAAACCTTCAGTAATGAAAAATCCTTCCCCTCACCATATCCAAGCATTCCCCTATATACCTGCTATGTGATACCCCAAGACCTCAGCTCCAGTGAATCTGAAGAAATGGACCAATCATTTGATTTATGGCCAGTACAGATCAGGAGCCATAAAGAGGAAAAAAAACAAAGGATGACAAGGGTGTAGTTAAACATGAATGTACACAAGGGGCAGCCCACAACCTTCCCAATCCCAAACTGGTGGAAAGATGGTCCCTTGTCCTAATGGAACAGATACAACAATGGAATGATACAGAAGTCAAGCCATGGCAGGGAAAAAACAGAGCTGAAAAAACAATTGAAAGCTATCTGGTAGAAAGTGAAATGGACCAAAAAGAGCCAGGAAGAACCAGAGGAAACCTCCCAAGCCTCCCAACAAAAGAATCCAGATCCCCAACTAAATCCTCCAAACTCCACTATCCCAGAGCCCAGTAGAAGACAACACTACCCCTCACTAAGTAAATGGGAGAGCGAAATATGAAAGAGAAAGAAAGCTGAATCCTCCATTGACTCCAGTGGCAACATTAAGCCCTGTTTAGCCCCTTACGCAACAAGCAACACAAAACTTGGTGCCAGCAAAAAACTGAAAAAGGAGGGAGGACTGAATACAAGTATGAATGGGTCAACTGGCACGGATAAGAGGCCACACCACCAAAGATGAGAGACAAATGGTCTAAAGATCCACCTCCTCCCAAAAGGAAAGGCTTTCAGACCTGGAAGCAACTGGAATGGTTACAAAGGAAAAAGAAATAGAGAGAGATAGAGAGAGAGAGAGAGAGAGAGACCAGCTTTTGATGCTGTGTTCACTAAGCTAAGTGTCAACTCTTTGTGGTCTGGTTTGAATGCATTTTGTTCGTTGGTGGTTAAAAGTTATCTTGAATAATACTTGTGTTTTGTTTCCTGGAGCCTGAGATCCAGGAATGTTTTGAATTTATTTTGCATTTTGGGAATCTATAGCAATTTGAAAAGATGGTGTGTGCCTGTATCAGTGTGGAATACGTAAGGTTAATGTAATGTCCTTTTATGGAACTATCAGTGGTTGTGTACAGCAAAAATCTGCAATGAAATGTTGATTTAGAGATTGGGTCAAAAAGCTTAGTAAATATTTACCTCTTGGGATTGGAAATTATCATGTTTGGAATTCCATTTTCTGGCCACAGTGAACTTCTAAATGTTGTTTTAACACATGAGTGAATCTTCAGTTCCAGATGATAAGATTTGCTCATTGTAAATGTATTTTGGTGTGAAAGTATCCAAGTAATAGGAAAATTGGAATTTTGGAAATTCTGATGATATGGAGTTTTCACGTCACCCCTTAAACCACTACTAATTGATCCATTCTGGTTGAAGTGGAATGGATGGATAATTTTTGTTTTTCAGATAAGAGTACAAACTTCTGAACATGTCTGCAAACTTTCAGCATCGCAACACAGTGATGGATGAGGCATCCTCAAACCATCAAGCCATTCGTCAACAGCGCATCTCAGCATTGAAAAGCTACTGTGAAAACTCTTAGGAATTTCAATATGTAAACATTTAGTGACTTTGGGGGAATAAACAGAATTCTGAATTTGGGCAAATTTGCATAGAGTTATATCAAATATCTAGAATGAGCTATAAAGTAAGTTTAAAATATGTAGGTCATCTTAGAGAAAGAACGAACAAAATCTGTATTGCCTGAATCAGCCAGAAATGTTTGACTTCTATTTAAAAATATTATAAGATGATTTACCGTGGACTACAGATCTCTCCTGATCTCTGGAATTAGATAGGTGTTAATTGTTAAATGGCAAAATTTGATGAGATGAGGTAATTAGGGATGGAGAATAGTGGCAGAAGAAAATCAAATTAGAATAATGGGTTGAAACGGCAATTGAAGTTAACATGCATTTTAGTGAAGAGAGAAGTTCAGGTGAGAGTACTAAACTGATAGCTTTCTCTTGGTGATGTTTGTGTCCTTGTCTTTCCTCGGTGAACTTGGTGATCGAGCCACTACCCGAAGCATCAGGACTGTACATGGAGAGATAAGTTCATCATCATAGTTCATAAGATCATACAGGAGTCAAGAAAGGGCCTCAGATATGTATAGCTACTTGACAAATGGATTAGAGTGGGTTGGAAGAGCACAACAGCACAATTTAAGCAATGAGACACCGACACGTAATTCATGGAGAAACTGACTTTAAAACAGTGATAGTGAGCTGAAGTGAAAAGGCCCAAAAAATGATGGCATATAGATACCTCAGAAAAGAGAACTGGGGAATTTTGAGTCCATGTATGATGTTAACAAACAACCAGTGAGAGAACTTGAAGCTTGATAAGAACTGTTACAATAGCGCAAGATGGGGAAGTTGGTTGCAATGTTTTTATTGTGGTGATTCTTACTCCATATTTCTCATTAATGTTGCTTAAATGCTGTATTCAGCAAATGCTGAAGCCTAAAGTTCAGTATTTTCAACACTTTAAGAAACCTACATATTATTGTTAGCTTGCTTTGCTTGTGTGATTCTGTTTGGGAAGATTCAAAACAATAGAGTTGTGGAGTATATTGAAAATGGTGTGATTAAGCTACAGCATAACAAGGGGTAAATTAACGAATGCTATTGCAAAAAGGGGACTTGCAGATACAGTCAAAACAAAGGAAATCCCTTCGAAGCCGACATGAGCATAAGTCACAAACAGATTGTGGCCTAGATCTTGTGGTTAGGGTATGGAGAACAGTTTGTGGTTTCAGGGAGAATCAAGTAAAGAAAATGTCTAAAAATCATGGAACGAGTTATTGCTGTAGAGAGGTCTTAATTTGTAACCATCTGGTCGACATCTGATAAAAAATAAAGCCAGATATTTAAAAAGATTACAAACTCATAGAGTCAAAATGTCATAGAGAGGTACAGCACAGAAACAGACCCTTCGGTCCAACTCGTCCATGCCGACCAGGTTTCCTAAATTAATTTAGTCCCATTTGCCGCATTAGACCTATTTCCCTCTAAACCCTTCCTATTCATTACCATCCAGATGCCTTTTAAATGTTGTAATTGTACCAGCCTCCACCACTTCCTCTGGCAGCTCATTCCATACATGCACCACCTTCTGTGTGAAAAAAGATGCCCTTAGGTCCCTTTTAAATCTTTCCCCTCTCACCTTAAACCTAAACCCTCTAGTTTTGGACTCCCCCACCCCAGGGAAAAGATCTTGGCTATTTACCCTATCTATGTCCTTCATGATTTTAGAAACCACTAAAAGGTCACCCCCTCAGCATTTGACGCTCCAAGAAAAATAGCCCCGGCCTGTTCTGCCTCTCCCTATAGCTTAAACCCTCCAACCCTGGCAACATTCTTGTAAATCTTTTCTGAACCCTTTCAAGTTTCACAACAGCCTTCCTATAGCAGGGAAACCAGAATTGCACACAATATTCCAATAGTGGCCGAACCAATATTCTGTATAGCTGTAACATGGCCTGCCAACTCCTATAGTCAATACACTGATCAATAAAGGCTAGCATACCAAATGCCTTCTTCACTATCCTATCTGCCTGCTACTCCACTTTCAAGGAACTATGAGCCTGCACTCCAAGGTCTCTTTGTTCAGCAACACTCCCCAGGACCTTACCATTTAGTGTATAAGACCTGCCCTGATTTGCCTTTCCAAAATGTAGCACCTCCCATTTATCTAAATTAAACTCAGACTCATAGACTCAGAGGACTGCTCCCTCTTTAGAGACAGATGATTGGTGGTGATTGTTTAACCTGAGGACCACCATGCCTCAGGTGACTGCTAAAGTTGAGAAGGCCAGACGTTTGTGGTGGTTTCAGCCAGGTGTGGAAATTGAACCTGAGCTGTTGACATTACACTGTATAGCAAACCAGCCATCCAACCAACTGAGCTAGCTGACCCTAAGCCAAAATAGTGATCATGAAATGAGCGCAGCAGGAATTGACCAGAGGTAATGTTTAAATTAAAAGAGCTCAGATCACACAAACAAGCAGTATAGAAGATTAGGAAGTAAGATAATTGATGTTGTTAAGATATTAAAAGCCATTTGACAGGATAAATAGAAGGAAACGTTTCTGCTGCTAGGAAACCCTGGATTAGAATTCAGAGCCAGACCATTCAGGAGTGAAGCTTGGAAATGCTTCTTCACGCAACAGCGGTAAAACTGTGGAACTGCTTCTAGCAAAAGCAGCAGATGTTAACTCAATTTTACTTCTAAGGTTGATAGATTTTTAATGACCTTCAGTACCTGGGAATATAGAGCCATGGTATTATGGATAGATTAATGATTCAGATCAACTATGATTTCATTGAAGTTCAGAACAGACTCAAAATGCTGAATCACCTATCCCTGTTTCAGTGTTCTTCATGAAACCTTTACTTTAACATAATACATTTATTACATTTGTTGATGAAGTGCACAGTGAGAGCATCCACAACATATATTTGCAATGCTCATTATTTGATATTTTGCAGTGACAATAGATTTTTTTTGCATTCAACTGTGTCATCCTTAAGAAAGGGAAAGAATGGATGAGAAACTGGGAGACCTAGCAGTACAAGGTCAACCACTGTTAGGTTAAGCAGGGAGAAGGAGCAGGTATTCACCATTCTAATGATGCCTTATTGTGTATTCCAGGTTCCATGTATAACACATTTGTAAAAACCTTTATGCTGAAAATGGAGAATGTAACATTTGAGAATGCTGGAGCCAACAACTCAAACTTAACTGTTGGAGTGACAATGACCAGCCCTTATAAGACTGTTGAGATCATCTTCATAGCTGTTGTGACTGGATCCCTTAGCTTGGTCACAGTGGTGGGCAACATATTAGTCATGTTATCCATCAAAGTTAATCGCCAATTGCAGACTGTTAACAATTACTTCTTATTCAGCTTGGCATGCGCTGATCTGATCATTGGAGTCTTTTCCATGAACTTGTACACTGTCTACATTATTAAAGGCTATTGGCCTCTGGGAGCTGTAGTCTGTGACTTGTGGCTAGCATTGGACTACGTTGTGAGCAATGCTTCTGTTATGAACCTTCTGATTATCAGTTTCGATCGATACTTCTGTGTCACGAAGCCACTGACCTATCCGGCTCGAAGGACCAACAAGCTGGCTGGGCTGATGATAGCTGCAGCTTGGATACTCTCCTTCATCTTGTGGGCTCCAGCCATCCTCTTTTGGCAGTTCATTGTCGGCGGGCGTAAGGTGAAAAAAGGACAATGCTACATTCAATTCTTCTCCAACCCTGTTGTGACATTTGGCACAGCCATTGCAGCGTTCTACCTGCCGGTTGTCATCATGACTGTTTTGTACGTCCAAGTCTCCTTTGCCAGCAGGAGTAGAATGAAAAGTCACAGGACAGACAGTCAGAAAGAGAATACTTCTCGATCTTCCAACTTTTTCAAGAGTCACTTCAGCAAGCAACAGAATAACAACAACTCTCCCAAGCCAGCAACGGACTCCTCCAGTGAGACGGTGAGGAATGGAAAGGTAGAGGAAAAGCCCTCCATGAAACAGGTGTCTCTAAGCCATCGCGAGGAGAAGGAGACCTCCAATGAGTCCAGTTCAGCCAGCACTGTCCTCCCCAGTCTCAAAGAGAAATGCACCAGTGATGTCATACAGCACGCACAAGCTCCAAAGCTGTCCAAAATGCAGAGCTCCAAATGGTCAAGGATCAAGATAGTCACCAGACGAACTGGCAATGAATGTGTCACCGCCATCGAGATCATGCCTGGAAATGCAACCAACAACACAGCAGCCAACAAGCCTGGCATTGTCGCCAGGAAATTCGCTAACATTGCGAGAAGCCAAGTGCGAAAGAGACGCCAAGTGGCTGCTAGGGAGAAAAAGGTTACGCGGACAATCTTTGCAATCCTTCTGGCATTTATATTCACCTGGACTCCTTACAATGTCATGGTTCTTATCAGCACCTTCTGTGATGACTGTGTCCCTGAGACTGTTTGGGTCATTGGGTACTGGCTGTGCTATATCAACAGCACTGTCAATCCAGCATGTTATGCCCTCTGCAACATTACCTTTAAGAAGACTTTCAAACATTTGTTATTGTGCAAATACAAGAACATTGGCAATGCAAGATAAAGTGAACGCCAGAATCTGGTCTGCAATGTGTGTTGCTGCAGACTTAAAGATGTAAATATTCCAAAGCGGTATTTCTAGAGATGCCAGATTTACACTGTGCTTGTATTTTCAGTATAACATTCTTCTGTTTCCCTTCCTGAAGTAGAGCATGTACATACCATATAAGCAAAGAGATGACAATGTGAAAAAGAAATCATAACTCATCTTAATATTGTGCAGGTGCTAGTGGTAGACCAAGTCAGAAATGTGCTTTTCCTTGTGTCCAGCTTCAGCTCAGCGACTCCAATTGTGCCAGGATACAAAAGCTTGATATGTTGAGAGATCTACTGAACTACTGTTACAAAATCTTAAGTAAAATTGTAAGATATCTAGACAACTGTGACATGGCTGAGTGAATGCTGTGACTGACTTTCAATGGTTGATATCAAAAATCCCAAGAATGGTTTTTTGACATCACCTACACCCCAACATTGAATTACAGCCCTTCCCTCACCCTTGGCCATTTATACAATGTAATGTGATCTTGGCAAAGCGAACAAGCCCATATGAAAGTTAATATTTGTACTGGCAGGGTCTGGTGAGTAGATACAATGAGGCTGTCACTGTCGAATGTTACAGAAAGGTACAATATCGGTACGATATAACATTTATTTATAATGGAATTATTTAACAAAAGAGCAGATAAGGTCAGGGCATATATTAAAATGAACTTCTTGTAATCTTTCCAATAATGCTATGGCTGGTGTAACTTTTAACCTTTAATATTATTTACAATATAAACATTTAAAACATTCACCTGTGCTGGAGTGTGTTTTGTGACTGACTGATGGGCCAGTTTATTCATTTTTTCTGTCTTCATTTTCTTTATTACAATTAGACATTAATGTCGAAAAGGTGGACAGTTGTTGGGAGAAATTAACCTCCTGTCACAAGATGTTCCATCAAGAATGGCAGGCAGTGACCAGAATCACATGGATTGGGTAGCAGGCATTATAATCCTGGACTTTAGAGCTCTGAATCCTTCACAGTTTGTGACACCGAGATATTGATGCAAATGAATAATTTCAAGGTAAGGTTGGAGAGAAGTAGGTTGTCAAGGCAAAACCAAAAATTTAAGCACAAGTTACAAGGTTGATATTTAAGGTGCCGGAGTCCCAGATGCCAATGTAGCTCAGTGAGATGAAGGATAATAGATTGATCTGACTGAGATAATCTACAGTTCCAGATGAAACAAACAGCAGATGATGGCCAGTTATCTAGAGGAGGGTTAGAAACAATGAGAGGTGATTAGTGGATGGTCAAGTCACTGATAGATGGGCAAATGAAGGTGATGCTGTGCAGATGAGGAGAATAAGGGATTAAAAACTCATCTCTATCCAAATTCAAAATTCCAAAGATGCAGACAGTCTGGCTCAGTCTGAGATAGACATTTGGGAAGGGGTGTAAAATGTCGGCAAGAATACGGTGTTTGTGGCAAGTGCATAAAGACAATGACTTTGGTCTTACCAATAATTAAGTGAGCTCATCTGAGACTGTACGTCAAACAAATAGATTATATACTTTCAAAGGTAGTGGCCATTATAGACAAGTATTTTAAACATACATCGGGAAGCTGGCCTAATATCTACAGATGATATCGCAGGTTAGTGACGAAGAGAGAGGACTCAAGAATAGATCATTGTGGGACTCTAGGATTAACTGCATGGTGGCAGGAAGTGATGTCATTGCTGGAAATGCTGTGTTTGTGATTGGCTGGGTCAGAGTGGGACAAAGTGAGCTGAACAAAGCAAGAGGAGTGGTTTGATGCAAGGATCACAAGGAAGACTTAAAATGTCAACATTTTGGCAGAAATGGGATCAAAGAAGAGACAGGGATAAGATGAGTTTAGATGGAACGGGGAACCTGGTAGAGAAACTCCAATCAGTGTAACTTCCAGTTAGGTTGGAGCAGAGGGGGGGATTTTTAGACAGGCTTAGGGAATTGACCTGAATGAAATGGGGTAGGTGTCAAAACAGGCAGTCAGAGGGATAACCTCCACCATGGTTGCAAACAAAACAATGAGCTCTTCACATTTGTTGCAGGCAACAGTGAGGGAGGATGAGGGAAGGAGGGTTTAAGAACACTGTGGATAGTGGAAAAAATAGACCAGGGTTACCCTTGTGCTCCTGAATCAACCACTTAATATCTAAGGTCATGGAGTCCCAGATGCCTCAGCGAGGTTAACGAAAATGGATTAACCATTTCAAATCACTGAACCAACCAACGGTTTATCAGAGGAGCAATGAGGTCTAGCAGTATTTGATGTAACTCAGATCTGTCAATGGCTGCCTAAACCATATTTGAACCAAATAAATCTAAATCTGTTGCTTTATCATTGACATAGAGGAGGTACCAATTGGTCAGCTCTGAAGACGCAAACCAAAAGTCTGCTGCTGTCCCAGTGGAAGACAATGAGGCTAAGTTGTGTCAGCAAAGGTCCAAATGTTCATACAATTATAAAACAATACAATGAGGTAAAAGTAGCAAGTACATACTGAACTATCACATTGAAATAAGCACATTTCCAATTTCCACCTACCTTATCCTCTCTGTTGAGCAGCCAACACTGTATTGCTGAAATTCTCACATGCTACAAAACTGTTCACATCCGTTTCCTTCCCCTATAAGTGGTTTTCCACTCACAGATCATTTTGAGGAACACTAAGTGCTTGCAATAAGTAACTGCTTGCTTCCCAAAACAGTGGCTCAGTGGTTAGCACTGCTGCCTCACAGCACCAGGGACCTGGGTTTAATTCCAGCCTTAAGCAACTGTCCATTTGCACATTCTCCCTGTGTCTGTGTGAAAGTCCAAAGATGTGCAGGTTAGGTGGATTGGCCCTGAAACAGCTGCCCATAGTGTCCAGAGATGTGTAGGCTAGGTCGATTAGCCATGGGAAATGCAGGGTTACAGGGATAGGATAGTGAGTGAGTCTGGGCGGGATGCTCTTTGGAGAGTTGACGTGGACTTGTTGGGCTAAATGGCCTGTTCCCACACTGTAGGGATTCTATGAACTATTATGACTTTCACTACAGAGTATTTTCTTACACCAGAGTTGGATGTCAATGAGCAGACAATGTTCAAACTGTGCACTTTCTTTTTAATTAGTAGCCCATAGCCAAAGGCAGTGAACTGCCAAATGTTGCGGTCCCCACACCAATGGTCACTCAACCCATCCAGGGAAAAAGCACTGGAACACAGGGAAGGAGGATGGGATTGACTTGTCAAACTAGGCAATAGCTTTACAGAAATGGGAAATGAGATTATTTCAATGCCTCTGCTATCCATTGCAATGGGAAGACAACAGGAAGAAGATGAATTGAGGAATACAAAAGGGACAGTTTAATTATGATTTACATTTCATGACCTCCTGACCACCAAGTATTTAGGGTATTTTTTGAGTTCCTTACACAAATCTATCTTATTTATTCAGTCTATTAATGCTTTTTATAAGCTGACTGAGATGACCGTTTGCCAGGTCAGATTTCCATTGGTTCATTCAGGCCATTAATTATCCTTCTGTGATTAGCATATTTGCTGGTTCCCCCTCCAGAACTTTGAAAATGAGTACCCTCTGACCAGTTTCAAAAGTGGCAGAGCCAAAGAGGCCCAGCCATAGCAAGTTTGAAATTACTTTTGTATTTACTAAGCTTATCCTGATGGCAGCTGGGTAACTCAACAATGGAAGCCTCCATCTGCCAAACTGCATCACATTGTCTAATTGGCACAGTTTGCCACCCCAATGCTCCTGTGGTTGCCCATTTGCCACTGACCGAGGCAACTGGCTGGCATGCTCCATCAGTCACTGACTCAAAACCAATTCCAATCACTCTTGACATGGGGAACACTGCATTCTCAGCATCTGATCCCAATAACTCCAACAATATTACCCTTGTGTGACAAGGTTAGGAATTGTAGCTAAAGTGTCCCCGGCACATCTAGCAATTCAATTCTTGACAGCCTGTCCAAGAGCCGTGAGAGGATTTAGCTGAACACTTCTCCTGACATTCAAATGATAACCCCGTGTTAGCAAACCTCACTCCAAAACTGACAGCTCTGCCTCGCCTATCCTTCCATCAATTTTTCTGAAAATTAGTTCATGGGATGTGAATGTCCCTGGCAAGGCAAGTAATTCTTGACCCTTTCAAATTGCCCTTGAGAAGGTGCTGCCCTTTTTGGACTGTCGTGGTCCATGTGGTGTAGCTAATTTCTAACTTCTCACCCCCACACCACAAACTCCCCAACCCCCCCACCAACTCCCCGCAATATTATGAGGGAGGGAATACCAGGATTTGTCTACAGGATTTATATCCCGGAAACAAGACACATGGTGCAATGGGTCCTGACATTTGAATGCCACTTGAGCTTTCACACACCATACTTCATCGAACCCTATCAACATAACTTTCTATTACATCTCTGCCCAATATTTATCCAGCTTGAATGCATCTGTGTCATCCACAGCAACTGCCCCATGTGTTAGCAAGTTCCACATTGTCAGCACTCTTTTGGGAAAGAGGTTTCACCTGAATTATTTCCGAGTGAGTAGGTTACATTGATAAGGCTTAATTTGTTGCTGCACCTTAGCAAATATAAGCATCAGGCTGGATCTTTTATGGTTTTGGCTAAATCCCAGTTGTGTTGAGCTTTGCTGGAATGGCTCGTCAGGTTGACAGAGCTCTCTCACCAAAATGACCTACCTTGCCCTTTTGTTGTCTCCCACATCTGATTTCCACCTCAACTTTCTACCCGCAACTATCTGTCACTAAAGCCCATTGTATATCCAGACAAGCACTGTAGTACAGAGCTGCCCTCCAACTGCTGACACGTGTCCCAGGCATGACTGACAGAGGGAAAGCAGGGACCTGGAGTGCTGAAGATGCAGGACATCCTCCTCCCTCACTACCCCCATCTGCCCCGGGAACTAATAGAGGAGTCCCATGGCACCAGACCATGCCAGCCCATCTGAAGTTGCCACCTGTATTAAAACGACCTCAGCTGTCTAGAGGAATGCCCAGGAGGTGGTTGTTGTCCTTCTCCTCTCCGTCAGGGTAAACGCCAGCACCCTCTCTCTGACACCTCCTTCTCTCTCTCTGCTACTGCACCCACCTTCCACTAAGGCTGATGCTCCACTACTCTCCCTGTTCCCTGCAATATCTTCCCTCAGTCACTGACACCTAACCAATCCCCAATGTCATTAATCCTGTGTTCCCTCTGCACTGCCTACTCCCTCACTCAGGACACATTCCCACCTCCACTAACTGAAATAGCTGTGGAACTTCCTGCTCCTGTAAATACCTGCCTGTCTTTCATTCCATGCCCCCTGTAGGGCAGCAAGAATCAAGATGGGTGGAGTGCTGCCCATCATTTGACTCCTCACTCCTTAAGTGGAGAGGACGCTGAATCTGACCTCCCTCCCCAGTCAAGGTCTGGACTGGTATCAGAGGCTGCCCTTCACTTACTGTGTCAGGAGCTGATGAGCGAAAGCTAAACCCCTTGATTGTACTGAGGCTCACTGACAACTATGTCCCACGTCCCAGCTTTCTGTCTGTGTTTAACGGCACAGCAAGACAGCAGCAATTGCTGACAGACACGGCACAAAAAGGCAAGGTAACGGGGGGCAAGGATGTTGTGAGCATTCAGGTAGTGATTGAACACTATGAGAG